GGCTTAACCCAGATGTACTTGAATCACAGAATTGCTCGGGTATGTCTCAACAGCCTGCTTTAACAAGACCCCCAGGTTATTCTGATGCTTAATATTTGAGACTCAGCTTGGGCAATATAGGGAGGTCCTGTCTCTATAAAAATATTTTAAAAATTAGCCAGATGTGGTGTCACTTGCCTGTAGTCCTAGCTACTTGGGAGGCTCAGGCAGGAGGAGAGCTTGGGCCCAGGATTTTGAGGCTGCAGTGAGCCATGATTGCACCACTGCACTCTCAGCCTAGGTGAAAGGGTGAGACTATGTCTCAAAAAATAAATAAATAAATAGAGAGAGAGACCCACTATTCTAAGTTCTAGAATAAGACATCATGCAAGCCTCATATATCAGTAGCAATAGTAACCGAGGAGACTAGCTTTCCCCTGCTGGAAAATTCTGTAATAACATTACCTGGGGCAGATGCCTTGAAAGAGGATGCTTATTATTTTTTTTTTTTATGAACCACAACAACTACCTCATGTTGCCTCCTGATCTCCTAACTAGAACCAAACATCAGCATAATCCTAAAAGGTAAGTACATGCTGTTACCCAAAAAGATACAGCTTGCACATAAAAGAATTACTAGATTTAATAACGTATATCATTAGAAACCAGGGCAACATGTGTAGGAGTATTCTAATAAGGGCAGAACTTCACTAGATTTGGCTCACTTCATTGACACGAGTGTAAAATCTAGAGATTCTAAATTTAATTTGTTAGCTTGAGCAGCCAGAAGTGGCTCTAACAGCTTAATTGGTTGGTTGAATGAATGTTGTGCTCAATAGTAGTCTACATTTAGTAAGGTCAAGATGCCAGAGCTTTGCCGGCATGATGTAGGGGAGAATATGCAAAGTCTCTAGCAGATAGAAATGTATACTGAGTTTATTCTGTCTATGGGAAGGCTCAGAAAACACTCCCTCCATGAAACAGTGAGAAATATATTAGTGTCTTCATGCTTGACAAACTTTGTAGTTGTTCTCCTTGAAGGCCAGGTCTATAGGGGATGCCAGTATTGAGATGGGGTCTTTTTTTTTTTTTTTTTTTGAGACAGAGTTTTGCTCTTTTTGCCCAGGCTGGAGTGCAATGACATGATCTTGGCTCAGTACACCCCCCACCTCCCAGGTTCAAGCAATTTTCCTGCCTCAGTCTCCCAGCTAGCTGGGATTATAGGCGTCAGTCACCAAGTCAGGTTAATTTTTTTAAATTTTAGTAGACACAGGGGTTTCACCATGTTGGCTAGGCTGGTCTCAAACTTCTGACCTCTGGTGATCTGCCTGCCTCAGCCTTCCAAAGTGCTGGGAGTACAGGCATGAGCCACCGCACTCAGTGAGATGGGGTCTTTGATTTCATAAAGATTATACAGTCCCAGAGTAGCAGAGGCCAAGTGGTAGTACTTAACCACCGAAGACAAAGACAAGAGGGACACATCAACCATCACATCTCTCCTTATCCCAGATAATTCTTCTTGTTCTGATGTCTACTCTATCTGATAGTTAATATAGCTACTTTAGCGTTCTTTTGTTTAGTATTTGCGTAGTGTATTTTACATCCTTTTGCTTTCAACCCATCTGTGGCTTTATGTTTAAAATGCGCTTCCTGAAGGCAGAATATATTTGAACTTTCTTATTATCCAATCTGATACTCTTTACCTTTTGAATAGTGTGTTTCGACCATTTACATTAAGATTATTGATGTTTGTGCTGAAATCTACCATTTCATTGTTTTCTATTTTTTCATGTGTTCTTAGAGCTTCCTATCTTTTCTGCTTTCTCTTTTATTAATTCAGCATTTTTATGATTCCAATTTATCTCCACATTTGAATTATTATTTATGCCCCTTAAAAGTATTTTAGTGTTTGCCCTATTGTTTACAATACCTATCTTTAATCAGAGTCTACCTTGAGATAACATACTATTCATCTCCACTATAGGGACCTTATAACACTATTTATTTTTTCTCACATTTTATAATATTGCTACTATTTAATATATTGCTACCATTTTGCTTTAGACTGTCAGTTGTGTTTTAGATAAAGTCAAGAAAAAAAGAAAAATATTTTCTCTTACTGTCATGTATTTTATTTCCAATTCTTTTAGTGCTTTGATTCAAAGAGACTGTGATTTTTTGAGACCAAAATGATCTTTGGGCTCCCAAACTTCTACATCAGAAACTGGAGAAGATAGAGGCTTTGCCTTAAAGTGGGCCGTATTATCCAATGCCCTTTTCATGTATGGCCAAGAAAGATACAGGAAAAATAAGGACCTTCCAGGGAAAGAGTAAATATCTACAGAAAAAATAATACTGGACAGCTCTGACAGGGAACAGATCCAGGGTCTAATCAACCACTGGCCCTACCCAAAGGATACAGGCATCTCACAATGCCTGAATGAGAGCATTACAGAATTGTTGTGAACCAGTAACTGCTATACCCCTCTTATTCATCCCTTTGTAACATGAGTGTTATTGGGGATATTGTTTCCTCATTCAACCATTGTCGATAGATGAGCAGAAAAGAGGTGACTTGCCTTTTTGTTTATAGATAAGGAGAAGAACATAGAAACTGTAAGGGAATTTTGGGCTGAGACTTACACTGTGATGGAATGGACTCTTTAGGGATATCTTCCTTGGGGAATAGGAGGGTGTATTTTGTATGTGGAAGGGAGGGAAACAAGTATTTAGACTAGGAGGAGACATTATTCTGACAGTTAGTTTTTGTTGTATAGCAAACCACAGCAAAGCTTAGTGGCTTAAACAAAAGCTATGCATTATTTCTAATGGTTCTAAATAAGAATCATCCAGGTAAACTGGCTGATTCCCCTTCTCTGAGCCAGGTTGGCTAGGACTGGATAGTCTAAGATAGATTCACTCACATACCTGGTGGTTGGCTTGACATCAGCTAGGTCAGTGAGGATAACTGTGCTAAGAATCTTATCATCCAGCAGCCCAGCCTGTGCTTGGTCATGTGACAGCTGTTGCAAGGTTCCCAGGAACAGCAAGACAGCAAACCCCTTAATATGCCTCAGCTTGCATCATATTTTATCATTCCTATTGATCAAAAGATGCTACATGGCTGTATTACTCTGTTCTTATGCTGATAATAAAGACATACATGAGACTAGGTAATTGATAAAAGAAAGAGATTTAACTGGCTCACAGTTCCAAATGGCCGGGGAGGCCTCACAATTTTGGTGGAAAGTGAATGAGGGGCAAAGTCACATCTTACATGGCGGCAGGCAAGAGAGCATATACAAGGGAATTCTTTATAAAGCCATCAGGTCTCATAGTATTTATTCACTATCATAAGAACAGCATGGGAAAGACCTGCCTCCATGATTCAGTTGCCTCCACCTGGACCCACCCTTGACATGTAGGGATTATTACAATTCAAGGTAAGATTTGGGTAGGAACACAGCTAAACCATATCAATGGATAAGACCATGTTCAAGAGGTGAAGAAACGTACTCCACCTATTGATGAAGATAGAACATAGCCTATTGCCAAGGGCAATGCATACAAGAATGGAAACAAGTTGTGGTCATTTTTTAGGTTTTACTATTTTTCTCCATTTTTAGCATCTTTCCTTATAGTAAGATTTTGTATCACTGCCCTTTGTCATATGACTTGCAGCGCCTCCCTGTAGGAGTAATATACTTCCGCACACCACTGATAAAATTGGTTATGTGGCTTTCTTTGACCAGTGGTCTATGAAAAGATAGGATGATTGCTGTGCCTCAGTAGAAGCTTTAATGGCAATTATCTGATTCTACTTTTGACAGTTTTTCCCCTCTACCACAAGAGTAGCATGTTTCAAATTAGGGCTTCTTTAGCCTGGCTTCTAGAATGGAGGAAACACACAAATCAGAGTCAGAGCTGATCTCTAGTGTGAATGAAAAGTAAGCTTTTGTTTGATAAGCCACTGTGTTTTGATGGTTATTCTTCACCACATCAGAACCTAAGGAAAAATGACAATGATTGATTAGCTTCTGTTTTTCTATATTTCATCAATTCCTTTTAGATGAATCTTTCCTTTTGACTTTTATTTTTTTAATTCTTTTTTTTTAACTTTCAATCAAGTTCAGGGGTACACGTACAGATTTGTTGCATAGGTAAACTTGTGTCATGGGGCTTTGTTGTATAGACTGTTTCCTCATGCAGGTATTAAGCCTAGTACCCATTAGTTATTGTTCCTGATCCTCTCCCTTCTCCTACTCTCCACCCTCTAAAATTCCCCAGTGCGTGTTTTTCTCCTCTGTGTGTCCATGTGTTCTCATCAAATTGTTTAAAATGCTCATAGATACCTTTTTTGTGTGTGAGATGGAGTCTCACTCTCTTGCCTGGGCTGGAGTGCAGTGGTGCGATCTCAGCTCACTGCAACCTCTGCCTCCTGCGATCAAGTGATTCTCTTGTCTCAGCCTCCATAGTAGCTGAGATTATAGGTACCTGCCACCATGCCCAGCTAATTTTTTTGTATTTTTAGTAGAGATGGCATTTCACCATGTTAGCCAGGCTGATCTCGAACTCCTGACCTCGTGATCTGTGCATCTCGACCTCCTAAAGTGCTGGGATTACACGTATGAGCCACTGCACCTGACCCACTCATAGATATCTTCAAATGCCCTTGTTCTTATTTTCTTTTCCAGCTGTGGCTTTGTCTCCTCCCCAGTCACAAGTAAATTTATCAAAAGAGCGATATATGATTTGTATTTCTTTATATTCTGTTCACTCTTAAGACCCTTACAATCTACATTCTCCCCTGATACCTCCATCAGTACAATCAATGCCACTCTTGCCAAAGTCACCAATGATCCCCACATGGCTGGTTCTGCTAACTCAACAGCATCCATCTGGGAAAGTTGACATTTTAAACTTTCTTTGAGGAATGGAACGTGAGTAGATATGATTTAAGCAGATTTAAGAAACCAGTGACCTAACCTGGTTTTATTTTCTCCTCTGTTGGGCTATTATAGGTTTTCTGTGACTTCCATGGCCACTCCCAAAAGAAGAATGTGTTCCTTTATGGCTGTAGCATCAAGGAAACCTTGTGGCAAGCAGGATGCACTGTGGGCACATCTACTGTCCTAGAGGATGTCACCTACAGGGTAAGCCGCTGAGGGGGATGCCACCAGACATACTGTGTCCATATTCTTTATTCTTACCTTTAAGACCATGCTTCATTCATTTATTTAGCTTTTTTTGGGGGAGGGGGTGGTAAATAAGCCTTTTGATTATTTTAACCATAGGGTTGTAATACAAGCAGGGTGGAGGCATGTGAAACCTCTCCTAATTTTTGTTGAATAATGGCTTACTACCTGGTTGCTTTGCCTCTGTTTTCTGTAGGGGTTGATATTGTATAAAAGGCGTGAGAACTGGAGACAGGAGACGTCATCTTAATGCCTGGCTTTATAATTATTCGATTACTAACCATATGATTATGAGATCATTAACATTATCTCTCTGAGCCACGCTTCTGTCATCTGTAAAATGAGGTTAGTTAAAATACTGCCTCTGTTACATAGTTTATGGAAGGAACAGAATGACAGAATACAAAAGGACTTCAAATAAATAGAGAGGGGTGACCATATATAAGCCATTAAACCATCCACATCTCTCTGCATGAGCATTCTATAAAAAGCAGAGCAGTAATCCGCTGACCCTAATTCTATTTTATCTCAGTTTCAGTGGTTAGAGCTCAACTGTTCCTCCATGAAACCACATAGGAAATTAGGGAGGTGCAGAGAAGAGGGTACATCTTCCCATCAGGATAAAGAATACAAGCTGTCGCTTAGTGAGAATCAGGAAGAAACAGAGAAGCAAAGGTACCCAAACACTAAATGGAAGCTGGTCTTTGTTTAAAATTTATGTAGAAAAAGTAAAAATTAGGACGGTAACTGCCTCTCCCAAGTCTGTTATTCTGGGTATGACAATTTGCTATGTGCAAAATAGCTTCATGCCCAGGGTTAATGACAGTATTAAGAGGTAAAAATGTGCCAAACCACCATTTCACCTCGAAATATGTCCCCACTTCTCTGGCCTTCTTCACCCAAGTCCATCTGAAAAAGACTGCCACTGAGTAGTACAATTGCCCCAAGGCTTTTATGGCAGAATCAACAGCTTATCCTCAATAATCTGTCTGCTGTAAGGCTGGACCAGAGTAATGGTGATAAAACACAAGAGGCTTACTGACTCAATCTTATTTAGGAAATGAGTTTAGTAAATTAAAGCATTCATCTGAGCAGCCCACGTGGACCCAACCTATATAAAACCATCTCTTATGTGTGATACCTCTTGAATAAAAAAAATCTACCCGGTCCAACCTTACATATAGAGTCTGTATGTTTTTTACTTCTCTTTTTCCAAGAGAAGGTAATAATATTAATAGATAATTCCCTATAAACAAGAAAAGGCTGTAAGACACAGAACCTTAAAAAAAGCCTTCTGTACGAAGCTGATGTGAAATGGGGCAGAGGTCAGACATTGTAGAGAATGACAGGATGAGTTCTTATCAACTGTGTTTTAGTTTTGGTGTATGATTCATATTGTTTAATTAATAAATTCAAAAATATTTTGAGGCCCAGATTAGTGTCAGGTAAGGTAAAAGGTATAACATTATAGAGGTAGGTATGCCAGTTTCTGCCTATGAGAATAAGCACAGTGGTACTTGATAGCAGTGCTGTTGAAAAGATTAATCCATCTAGACACTGAAGCTCACCTATAAGATCCTTTAACTTTGGGTGGGCCAGTTGCCTGAGCCTCACTTTTCTCCCTTGTGAAATGAGGGAGTTAAATGTTCTATGTAGTTTATTACATCGAGTTTGTTGGTGCCCTGGGATTCCTTAAAGGTGATTCATGAGCTGCTATGACATATGTGGAAGTAGTGAAGTGAATATGGTTTGATCCCACCCCTTACTTTCAACCCAAACAACTTTGCTTTTTGGGGTCCCACATAGTATATAAACTCCCTCTATCACTGACACTCTAAGTCAGTGTCACATAATGATCTGTAAATAATTGTCTTAATACTGGTGATCTGCCTAAAAAGTCTTCTGAGTACTAATGGATCTTGTCAGAATTGAAAGGACCCACTCATTTTGCAGATGGGAAAATTAAGACTCAGGGGAAGAGTGTCTTTGTAAGGTATGTTAATGTTATCATCGTGATATCTGCCAGCAGTCAACAGCCTGCTGATGCTGAGAGGCTGATTCCTTCCTTACCATCGAAAGTGGAACAATTCTAAACATGTTAAACTGATCCAAGACTTTTTTTTTGGTAATTTACCATTAGTATTGAAGAGACAGTTATATGCCCTATTATATTTCACATCCACTCTGCAACATTTATTCAATTTTATTAATCATCCTTAATGGTACTACTTCTAGTTATGTTGGTATAAAGAGGTCAGTGAATCCTCTCTGTAAAATGCAAGTGTAAAACAGAATAAAATTTCGAAAAGCAGCCCTTTTAGGACTCTGGAAATTTACCAAATACGATGATAAATTGAGAAGCATTTATTCTTGAAAATTCCTAAAGCTTCATTTAAGAATAGCAAGGGTCTGTGACCTTCTTGACTGGGGCTCCTCCTGAAACCACTCTATTTGGTCATCAAGAAATGCAATTTTACCAACAGAAGGATAGACACACACACACACACACACACACACACACACACACACACACACACACACACAGAAATTTACAAGGGAGACCTTAGAAATGAGAGACCCATAGAAGAGCTAAGATAAGCTCTGTATAAATACATGGTATATTAAGACATTCTTGCATTGTTGAGACTAGATAAATTATAAAGAAATAGGTTTAATTGGCTCATGGTTCTATAGGCTGTTCAGGAAGCATAATGCTGGCATACGCTTCTGGGGAGGCCTTAGGAAGCTTCCAATCATGGCAGAAGGTAAAGGGGGAGCACGCACTTCACATGGTGAGAACAGAGCCGGAGAGTCAGGGGGAGGTGCCACATACTTTTAAACAACCCAATCTCACACAAATTCATGATGCAGAGATGATGCAAAACCATTCATGGGAAATCCACTCCTGCAATCCCTTCACCTTCTACCAGGCCCCACCTCTAACACTGGGGGTTACATTTCAACATGAGATTTGGGTGGGGACAAATATCTAAACTATATCACATGGATTATGGAAAAATATGTGTCTCTTCAGAGAAGACCCAATAGAGACCAGTGAGAAATAAAGTCCAAAGAGACTTAAGAACTGCCACAGTTTTGAATGTCTTCCCAAATGACATACAAATCAATCAACAGAGGGTGGAAATCTTATGCACTCAAGATATTTGAGCACTACATTTGCCCAAATTATTGTATAACCACTATGCTTAGCAGCCACAGATGTCAAGCTAAATAATTTAAATAAGAATGTGGAAACTATGTAGAGACATCAGTGGCACATAATGCAGAAGAAAAAAAAATATTCTGCAGATTAATCCAGGAACGTAGTTAAAATTTTAAAAACATTTAAAAAATAGAATCCAGAGGTGTTAAAAAATTATAATCTATGATGTTCAGCTTTCAGCCAAAAATTACAATTTTGTAAAGAATCAAGAATGTGAAATCCATACTCAGGAAACAAAGCAGTCAGTAGAAACAGAGTGGGCCAACCTGTTGGATTCATAATTATTTCCAAGCAATTGTTAAAATATGTTCAAATAATTAAAGAAAGAATTAAAGAATTAATTAAAGAATTGCATTCAAAAGTTAATGGCAAAATATGATGACCATTTATTCAATATATATGAAACTTCGACAGAGAATTAACTAAAAAAGAGGAAGGAAGGAAGGAAGGGAAGGAAAGGAAGGAAGGAAGAAAGGAAGGAAGGAAGGGAAGGAAGGAAGGGAAGGAAGGAAGGGAAGGAA